AGGCAATCAACGAAAAATATTGCGTCCTATCGATTGGCGGGGAGGCGGCGTGAGTACGGTAATTGCAGTAACATTTGCCCCATGCAGCAAGGAAGGATGCCGCAATCGGGGAGAAGTTCCGTTACCCCCAAGACAGCTTCTAGTTGGGATAAATTTGGACATATTCACTGCTTTTAGCATAACCCCGGTAAATAATCAGCAATGTCGTCACTCGTTTTGACCTAATGTTCATATTTTCGCCGTGGCACGTAGCACGCAAAGTCACAAAAGATGAGAGTTAGGGACGAAACTTCAGTCTTGAGCGGGTATCGAACCCGTACTTGTGCATTCCGGGTACTTGCTCCTTGTCCCCTACACTCCTGAGGCCCCGTTTGCCTTAGCTTTTGCTCACGACTCACCATTATTCTGACGGACCTCCACATTATGTTGTTCGTGTGAATGCTGATAAGACGTAGAAGCTATCCATAAGGTGAGGGAAAAAAGTCTCAGAAGTGTGAGGAATAAAGAGTGCGGTGCCCGGATAGCACAAGTACAGGTTCGAGTCCCGTCAGATGCTTAGTTAGCTCACAAGTCATCATCCTTGTGAGGAATGCCATCGTTGTCAAAGCTTTTGGCTACAGTAAAATGTTGGACCGACGAAAAAGAGTAAATATAAACATAAACATAAATATAAATATCAAAAAATCCTACGGCAGCTTCTTCTCCATTTCTTGATCTGACAAAAGAGCAGATTTGTAGCCCGAATGTGTCTGGCCATGGGATCGTCATGAAAACTTTCCACCACCTGAACAGAATAGACACTTTCTGAAAAGGTGGCTACATCTTCAGAAGATTCAGAGAGAGCGGAGGCAAAAAGCATTCTGAGGGGCATGGCCGAGCACATTCGCTCTCCCTTCCCACAAAATTCACCTGCTAGAGATTTGTGTGACATAGAAACCCATTGCAAAAGACAGTACGGTAGACGCTTCACGGGATAATGAACGGCAATGCCTGACGAGACGTTCAAATACTCGGCCGTATTCATTACCTTTCAGGAAGAATCGGTATAGCACACTGTAAATGGATATAATAGAGGTTTTATTAACACCATTCCGAAGGTTAGTCCCAAGCGCGTGAACGTAGCCTTCTGGACCACTCATGTCTGTGATCTGCTTTGTTATCAGAGATATCCACCAATAGGACGCCTGGAATGGCCTCAAAAACCACGCCCACGCGCCTAGGCCGTTTCACAGAATGGATCGGTTATCAACTAACCAGATGTTGAAATAGACAAAAAGATAGATAGTAAGTTCCCTCCAGATAATTTTCCATACACTTCCTCTCCAACGAAATAGCAATTTGATGAATGTCCCCAATCGTACAGTGGCTGCATCACGCATATAATTCACAGTCATCTCCTTAAAATTCAAATTTGATTCCAGTGAAAGAGCTTGTCTTTTCCCAGAGACTGGGAGGTTACGGTAGTACTGACCCCCAAATACTTAAGGGGTTTTCTGTGCCAGCACCAGATCTTCGTATGCTTGAGAAAATAAGTGACTATCTTATCAAAGTGAGCGGGTGTGCTGGATAAGCCTGGTATACAAGAGTGTGGGAACTTATGTTTGAAGGCGTGCCACGGTAGCAGAAGTTCAATGGTTGATTCAAGCGCACAATGTATGTGCCAGATTTGAATAACTGCGGCGCGGTCTTAATGGGTTCTTACGGTAGTTGCAGTTTGAAACCGCCACTATCAAAGAAGTGCCGCGTGCGCGACCATGGGAAATCGGGCACGAATTCTGGCACCACGATTGAGACGCATTTATCCCTTCTTATGATGGAAGTGGCTTCCTTACAAGAGGTAATCATCGATATCAGTAGGCATGAGAGCAGCGGATTATTGACACTGGCAGTGATACAGCTTTCCCGGCAACCTCTTGAGCTTTACAATAGTTATTGATTTTGCGCATATGGAGATGAAGTTGCGATGCTGGCTGGGTCCGGTAAGATGGTACCATAAGCTTGGCTATATCAGACATCACTATACTAAACAGCATCGCAGAAGCACTTCAAACACTGGAAACGATTCTGGCACCAGCATATTAAAAGGAAAAACCAACCTAGAGTTATGTAGAGAGCCCAGCTAGTGACAGTTCCTGAAACGACCGTCTGCTGGGGTAGAATAGGATGCAAATGAACCACCAACCATTCTACTCGTCACTCCCTGTGTACTACATTTTCACTAGCAATCAGCTCAGAACTATCAACTTCATTCGTCTGATATAATCTGTTATGTATGCCAATACTTTATGGTTGTCGCTATGGCAGATGCGGTGCCGTGACAATTGGCACACTATAACATAGGCATGGTCCGAAGATCGAATCCTGGATAGATGCTCGCCCAGGCTAACCAAGCCATACATAACTTCGGGTTCGATAAGTAGGTACTGGACTCGTTTAGGAGATAAAAGCACAGCCTTCTACACCGGTTGGCCACTACAATACATTGTATGGACCACAACTCATTCGAACTGACACTACGATCCTGGATGGGAGTCGAACGTTGGGGCGCAACCTAAAAACGGGATTGATTCATCACAAAAGTCTTGTCCTTGTAGTGGGTTGTCGTGCAATTAGCATGTTTGTAGGCTTGTCATTTGTCTATAGAACTTTTCGTGTCAATAAGGAAGTTATAACGATAGAAAGTAGGGCGGACACGGTATAATGGCAAGTGGCGCACTATCTTACACATATGGTCACGAGTTCGAATCACAGATCGATATCCGCCTAGGCCAACCAAACTTTCCATCCCTGTGGGGTCGACTAATTGGTATCAAACTCGTCTGGGGGGTAAAGCACTGACTTTACATCGGTTGGCCTCCTTGCATAGGCGCATTCATACGTCCCTACAACTCTGAATGGAAGTCGAAAGCGGGGCGCATCCAAAATTAGAATTGGTCAGCGTCAAAAAATTTCACCCTTTATCCTTCCAATACTAGAAAATACGATAGAACCTTCAAGGTGAAAACTTCACCGAAGGCTCCACCAAAGAGGAGGCAGTTCAGGAAGGCATTTTGTCTAACTGAGATTCGACGAGTGATATCACTGAAGGAAGGTTTGAAGTCATACCTAAACCGATAAAAATGTAATTTGTACTTGACTTAAAGAATTTTTATTAGAAAAAATAACGTATTCCATAAAATCATTTATAATAAACAATTGTAGTTTCTCTAAAGCACCGAGAAGTATGAGAATTACAGTTGAGAATGGGGAAACGCTAAGTGGGTGAGTGTGTCATGGAATAAATGAATTTATAAGTAAGAGAAGGATGAAAATAAATGAGAAATTCAGATGACCAGATACCATCAAGATCAACAATCAACACAGAGTAAATAAACGAGTGAGGGGGAGCATGAAGTCAGTGGCCAGAAGGACGACGGTATTAGTGATGGCGATGTTTGTGATGCCTTCGCCGGCGTTGGATCACTCGCCGTTCTTCATCCCAATTTTCCAACCATTTACGAAGTGGTCGTTCATTTAACCGCCTCCATTGGATATTCAGCTCAATCTGCTCGAACAACTGATTCAGGCGTGCTTTGTTGTCCTCCAACTGCAATCGCATAGATTATTAGACAGGAATCCCAAATAGGTTCAATTTCCTCTTTTCTTCTGTGGCATTGAGACGGTGTAGTGCCAAATGGTGTTCTCTATCACAAGCAAGAATCAGGTTCCCAATCGGTATTCGCCTTATGCCAACCACCTCTTCCATGTTTCAGGGGTCAGTTAATCGGTACCACTCTCTTTTAGGGAGATGAAAACATTTACTTTCACATCGCCTAGCTCCCACAAGCCATCGTATAGACAATATCCCCAATCAAAATGCTGATACGATTCTGAATGGAAGATGAACGCCGGGCGCATGTCAAAACGGGACTCACCAACACCAAAACGCTTCATCCCAAATAAAGACCGCCACAAAAGACAAGAATCGCAGCACAGTTTCGGGTTTAACCTGGGAGCATCGCCAACTTCAGTTACTCAGAAAGGATGGATCTACTATCCCGTGCTCTTCAGGGGTATAACGATAGGAGCTGCCGTGGTTAAAAACGGAAACGAACCCGTTTGTCTCCAAGGAATGCCTTAACATCGTCGAGATCCTCTTGTGTACTGAACTTGTCAAGCATAGCTCTTAAACTGTTGATAAGAAGATTTGAACCATCGCCAAGTCTGAATGGATCAAATGACGTTTTCTCAGCAACCAATTACATAAGTAGAGGCGAAAAATAAAGCAGAAAAGGAGAGTAGAATAAAACTAGTTTATAGCTTGGTATGGCCATTATTTCACCGTGCCAGTACAGCTCCCAATCTCGGAGAGTTATTGCGAGTTCCAGAAAGTCCTTGCAAACGATTTTTTCAAGAAATGTGGCTTCTTATCCCTTTTACTGTCAATAAAAAGAACACATTCAGGTAGCCTCTTCACCAACATTCTCACGAATTCTTTGTAGTTGACTCGGAAGAAGCGCCATGTAAGCGCTCGTGCTGCCTCATTTTTCGTCAGATCAGAAAGCATACGAGGAATAACGTTCGGTCGAAATGATGACCCTTCAATGCTTAGTCGAAGTAACCTGAAAAAAAGAGTTGCTGAATATAAAAATGAGGACGATCATGCATATTCCATCAGCTTATCATAGTTTTTAGGACCCATTTCAAATCCAAAAGCGAAATCTGCCCTATATAAACACATTTCGGTTCGTTCAATTACAAAACCACAAAATGTTTCAGAGAAAATCAAAAACAGATGGCTTCGAATTCGTCCCGCATTTGCTTCATAATACTGCCAGTCTTGAAATAAAGTTAAAAACGCTTTGGTTTTGATCGATCCCGCTCTAAGATGCGCCCCGAACTCGACTTCCATTCAGAATTGTAAAGGCGTATCGATCCCGGATTCGAACCCGTGACCATGCGTATGTGGTAGTGCACCTTTTGCCACCACATCACCTCCGCCCACTGGTGAAACATCATAGTGACCCGGGAAAATGTAAAATGAAGCAAGTGTGAGATGACGGTAAGAAATTGAAAGTCAATGTGACTGCACTGTTCAACGACTTCGTTGGCAATTGGTAGCTACTGTGGCCGACAACCAAGCAAATTGGTGATCTTACCGTGAAATGAGTGAAGGATGTGTTGTGGAGGCCATTGCTCCTATGAGTTGATACTTTTCAGAGGGGCTCTTTGCTTCCAAGTAAGCCGCATAGGCTCGTTCCCATGCTGCTACACCACCTTGTCGAACGCCTTCGTCTAATACGACACCAAGCAATTCAGGAGATGGCCTGAACGCAGGGAACGGCCTATATAGTCTGTTTTCTAGGGGCAAATGCCAGACAACCATACCGTTTCTTTTTCGTTATCCAGTCGTTATATCGATTGTGCGCCTGTTTGATACAGTCTCTATGCCGTAGTCGGCATGCCATCTCCAGTATTTCAACCTTTAAAAGAAAATCAAAAATTTAAAAGTTCATTTAATACAAAATCGAAACGGCATTGTGAAACGAAGCTACGTATCAATTGGGAATAACCTGAAATTTGTCGCTATTGAGTCAGCCATAGATGAGGTACAGGTTCGAAGGGTAAGTGGTTATGATTGAGAACTTCAAATGAGCCCGTTAGCTCCCTGTTCTTTTTGACAATTCAGAAAATAGGCTCTTTTTTTACCAGTGAGATTACAGCGGTGACCGGCTCACATCAGGATCGTTCTAGCCATGTTTTTTCACCACCCATGGAAGGGGTTACGGCTTCGTGGGAGCTCAAACAGTTTTGGAGTATAGGAAGAAGTGAGTTGGACCACCACCAACATTTAATTTAAAAATGTAGAAAACAAACAGTTGAATCAGCAGTAGATTGGCTCCTATGCAAGGCGACTAATCTTGACGACATCGTTCATCTAGAAGACTCGGATACACACCTGTAAGCCTTTCTCAGCTGGCGTCGTAGCGGCATCCGTATCCCAACCGACACGGTCGTATGGCCGCAGAATCAGAGTACGCTGGAGATCCTGGAAGAAATGTTACATCCTTAAGACTTACAAGGTTCCATAGCATGTACTGTTGCGGAAAGCTTGTGCCACTCTCCCATGGGTTATCGCGGGAAGAAGATTGTTCTAGGCTAGATTTCAGGGGCAGTGAGATTTCCAAGGGGATTTCCATTTCCAAAAATCGAGAACTCTTGCAAATTGTTGTAAAACCGTAATAGGGATTGTTAGTGAAACTGTAATCTAGACGTTTCTGGCCGCATCGCTTGTTTCCCCTTCCATCTGTGACACATTCAGGACGTTGAAGATCGAAGACCCCCTCCAATGTTATGGAAGCGACAGTTTGGGGATCTAGTCTTCTAGAATGTGCTTTCATTTCTGGCAGACCGTAAGTATCCACCCAAATCAGTTTCGTCGTCTATCCCATTCACGTACTCTCTACAGTGATTTAGAATTAGCTAGCGCAGTTGAGTTTGCTCCCGAAGGGACTACATTGTACGGCCTAGCGATAAGTGCCCATTAGGCTGCACCATATGAAATTATCGTGTCTGTACGGTAATTCCATATGGTTCTTACTACAGGTATATGTACGTATCCCCCTTCGTGTTGTGAGTAGTTCGGACGGCAATTTTCTCATTACCGACTGTATAAATCGATTTTTAATCCGAAGCTGTAGAGCTGAAGCAGTAACATTTAAAGGCACTGTTCGCGAAAAAGTGGTTTCGGAGATCTGCACATGGTTTGATTTCGACGCCCCCTCTGATACCATTTGTGCAGGAATGA